CCTCCAGACAAGATGTCAGTGTTTATCGGGGAGAACAGTAGCGGTTGAGCAAGTGTGTCCTCTGAGCTGGCAAAAGCCTCTGTTTGTTCCTTATCCAGCTCCTGTTTGCCTTTAGGCTCACTAACAGTGGAGCTTTATTCAAAACCTTTCAGCTAACCGCAGGTAAACCTGAGGGCGCTGTCTCATTTCAGCTCCCTTTGTCCTGATCCGACTCTCCTGCATGGTTGGACTTGTTGGAGGCCAACAGGGGATTGCTCACAAAACAGTTTCAGGGCATAAAGGAGCATTCCTTTAAATGACCGACTTGTGAAAAATGTAAAACCTTAGTTTTGCATGAGCTTGAAATTCGCAGATGACATCTTTCAGCTGCTGGAAGGTTTGATGATAGATAACTTGGTTTAGTCTTAAGTGGGAATTTGCATACTGTAATACAGTCGGCAAGCCTTTTATTTGATTTTTTTTACTGCCCTTTTCCCACAGTGACACACTTTACGATGATCAGTGCACACCTGATCGGTGTCTGGGACCCCGAGGCGCTGTTTGATTCAGAGCCCGCATTAGTGGTTCAAAACCAAACATTTACCAAACATTTATTGCGAGGGCGAGGAACAAAGTTAGACGTGGGGAAGCAGGAGTTTCCGCTTCTGTTTACGGACCAAATGAGTTGTTAATCAGCTTAGGAGGGTTTCCGCGCATCTTCCAGAAACAGAAACGGCTACTCATTTCACATTGGCACAGCTGTCCCCCCCCCCCCTCTGTCCCTTGCTTGTTGAGAGTTAGTTGGGGTGGGCTCCCCCCTCCCCTTCATACAAAAACAGAACCGCGCTCCAGAACACGTTGTAATTGCTAACAGGCTTTGGGTCGTATCCCCGGACAACCCAGCACATTTCCTCTGCTCAAGGAGAGCTCCTTTTTTCTTTTTTGAGAAAGGCCCCCTACAGTCAAACTGCACAGCTGTGATCGACACAACCCGACTTGCCTTCTGATCTGAGGCCCATGCAGGCGGCTGATGGACGGCTCTCTTAACCGTCACAGACGTCTCACACGTGTCAGCGAAAACCCCGTTTCGGTGGCTCGGTTTTACAGTCGGAAACTGAGCTGACGCTTCACCTTTACCGCTCCAGGAAAGCTCAGCTCGGCCTCTAGTAACATCGTCTTCCCTCAGCCTGAAAGAGACGAAGGAAGTACGGAGAGCTCGGATCCACGCAGATGTTTCTCCCAAACCTAGTGGACTGAGAGGGGGGGAGGGGTTTGACTGAGTTGACGGGGGGGTCCACGTCATTTGCGACTGGATTCAAAGATGAGAAGCAGACTGGCTGTTTAGACAGCCCAGCACAGGGTGAAATTAGCAGGATGAGGTGCCAAGACTTTCCCCATTAACCGCCCGGCAGTAGCTCAGAGACCGTTAACACATTCCAGTGGGGTCTTAATCCAGATCGAGCTAAAACAAGTGGCGGCGGACCAAGTCGCTCTGGCCAAAGGGGGGGAAATAAAAACGATGGCGAAATTTGATAGTGAAGCACGCTTTGTACATCGTAAAATCTGGTTCCAGTTTAACGCCCCCCCCCCCCCCCCCCGAGGGACGCCTGCCTTGGATGCTCCTCTGTGTTTGCATATGGTTGAATAAGGACTTTGGTGGTCATGTTACACATTGGCTCTCTCTCTTTTGTCCCACCCCACACCCCCACCCCACAAATGGAATGCTACAGCCATTAACAAACACCCCTGCAAAGCAGTTATTTTAGCCCCCAGTCGGGCCAAAACAGCGCAGCCCTCCGTAAACGGCTTAAACGAACAGTCTCTGACAAAGTTCATTCAGTGTCTCCAGTTCCGATTTGATCCCGGCCGGAATGAAGCCCCACAGGGGACTCCCCAGCTTCTCATGCTCCCTGTCATCCGGCTTCTCCACGCAGGCTTTTACTGGGCGGGGGGGTTAGGGTTAGGGTTAGGGTCGTCTTCCAGCATGTCACGGAGGGACGCAGGCTGGGTAAGGAGCTGCTTGCACACCAGTCTGGTGATTGCGCAACCAGGCATGGCTGGATCCTCCGGCCTGTTTGCGAGGAAGCTCAGACCCACCTCCTCATGACTTTGATTTAAAGCTAGAAACACGTAGCTTCCTTGACGTCCGCCCTGTTTTCTTTGGCCTCCATTGTGCCGGTGTTTGCCGCTCTCCCCAGACCACGCAGGCATGCTCACAGATGTTAGCCTACGTCCAGCATCCTGCCATTGTCAGACCCGGCCGGAGCTTCACATGCAATACGTAGACTTCTGTGCGTTTGCTTCAATGTCCGTGTGTTCACGTGGTCCTGAAGCTTGGCAGAGGTTACCACTGATTGGTTCGTTGACTGAGGTGTATCCGAAACTGTGGGCATTTCAGTAAAAGCTTTTTTTTAGAAGGATAAAAAACCCAAATCCACAGCGTTGTGTAGCCAAAGTATCTTCTTCATTATACCGCTTTAATGCAACCAAATGTGCCAAACTGTAGAGTTAAGAAAATGGAGAAATGTGTAGTGAGAAGAGTGCATGAGGTTTAATGAAAGGCTCCATTTCGATAAGCCTTCGGGTGCCGTTTCCTTTACAAAATCCCTCGATGGGTAAAACCCTGCTTCTCCCAGACCTGTTGAAAGTTCACTGCTTTCTTTATTTTCAGAGGGTCGAGGGGCAGTGTGTGTCTGTGTGTGTGTGTGTGTGGGGGGGGGTTCATGCAGTTGTTGACCTTTGGCCAAAAGCTGAGTTTAGAATCCACATCTGGAGCTCTGTGTAAGACAAGCTCCACTTTTTCTTTTTTGGTTTAGGATCCTCAACTACACTTAACTCTGTGTTTTTTTCCACCCCCCATTAAATTTAAACACCTAACAGACTACCCTATTTGTTTTAATTTGTGCTTGTTTTTCCCGTCGGGATGGCTTTTTGTAAACATGCCCGTTAACACCAAATAGATTTTCCTTTCTTTGCAGTTTCAGACGCTCATTAAACAATAAGTAAACATGTACTGTGCGGATCGCTTTTTGACTTGAGAAGGAATTTATTTGGAACTACTTCTTGGGAACATCCAGTTTATTTCGGGCTAAACAATGAACTTATTGAGGAGAGCCATGACTGACCTCCTGTTTGGAGCAGCTTTGCACTTTTTGCCAAAGCTAATCGGAGCCTCTGGTGCCCCCCCCTGGTGCAGCTCGCGAACGACACCTTTAAACTCCAGCCTCCAGCAGCCGGGCGCGCGCCTGTTTTGATCTGACGGAGCCCAACGGTGAGCACTCCCATCTGTTGTGGCAGCCCCGAATCCTCCGGCCATTGTTTTTTGAAATGCCGTCTCTGGGAGGAAGGGGGTGGGTTAATGACTGTATTCCTTAGGTCCCATTTGTCCAGCTGCCCCCCCCCCCCCGCGGTGACTGTTTGTGTGCTTTAGTGGACGGGAACGTGTGCCGATGCATCTGTTCCTTAATGGAGAACACATTGAAGCTCTGACAATATAAACCACCGAGCCACAATCTCGCGCACGTGTCTCATGTGAAAGCCGGACTCCCCAGAAAAAGAGAAGTAAAAGGGGGGCGTGGCGCTTCCAGGACTGGGTGAAACCATCGGTGCCAAACTAAATACCTGCCAGTGAAATGACTCCACAGTCGGTTATCACTGAGGAGCTCCGTGCCGTCCCAGGCTCCGTCACAGACGTCTGGGGGGGGGCCAGTGGTGTCCTGAGCTGGAATGTGCCGCCTTGTAGTCCTGAAGGCTTTGTTTGGGGGGGTTTGTGAGGGCATGTGTGCGCCTCTGCAGTCTGCAGGGAAGGTCCAGGCAGAGGTTAACACAGCAAGCGGTCTTATATAAACGGCCACATGTCTTCCACCTTGACTAAAATGTACAGTTTGCTGTGTTTTCCTTGGACGGCAAACGGCAAAGTCCCCTTTTTTTATGGGTCTAACATTCTATGTATCACTGCCAAAGAGAGATTTAGTGATTCTACAGACTAATCTAATTTAACCTGTCTCTCTCTTGTTCTGTGTTATTGGCAAAAACACATTCCAGCCAAGAGTCGTACACTCTCTTCTCTTTCGCCATTCCAGATGTGCAGATGCTCAATTCTAAGGGATGAACGTTTGCAAGGTTTTTTTTTGTTTGTTTTTCTTGGCGTGTTGTGTTGTTGAACATCATACGTCTGATTAAGATGCTTGGTGGGATCTACCGTGCAAAACCTCATCAAACAAACCGTGTTTAGCTGCTGGCTAATTCAACTAGCAAACCACAGAGTGCAGGGAAATTTGTGGGACTTACTAAATCTTGGCTTGTTTTTCCTGTCAGTGTTGCCCCAAGAGTCAGGAAAGGGTGGAGGACTCTGCTACAAATTTGATTATTTGCAAAGAACATGAATTTCCAGTGTAACGGGAATGGCTCTTTTATTTTGTTTTCTGACCTTCATTTGTGTCAACAGTTACATTAAGGCACGTGGGCCATAAAAACAGTGTCCCTATTTGCCTTCTAGTAATGCTGAGCTCGATTGTTATTCACCTTTTTCCCCTACAAACAACCTTTTCATAGTGCCCCCGAGCTCACACTTAGAAGACAGAAGTGCAGACATGAGGCACTCAGAGTTTAAAGTTGGTAGAAACAAACATTTTCAAGCGTCCAGAATAGAAGAAACTAAACAAAACAAGTATCGATGTTTGAAAAACAGGGCCCAAACGAACCGATTTGGACATGAAAAGGTCCGCCTCCTTTTTAGCGAACGTCGAGCCCCCGTATAAGACCTCCTGTGTCGGGATTGTGGGGATTTTTTTTGGCACACGGTGCCAGTAAATATGCCGCTTGTGCAAGAGTCTTCCCGGGAGTAAATTGAGGGGGGGAGGGGGGCGGGGCCACGCACCTGACTCCGCCCCCTAGCCCTCCCACCATGTGATCAAGCGGGGTTTTAAGAAACATTCGGCTCGCGCTCAACAGAGAGACGCTCGCGTTCGTTATCCTCCGTGGACTAGTCTCGTCAGAAAAAACTTGGGAGAAACGGCAACATGCGCAGCAAGATGAGCTACAGCCTGCCCTGCTCGCCGGGAGCCTCTCCTCCGCATTCGGGGCGGCTGGTGTCGTACAGGTCGCGCTGCGTCAGGTAAAGACCCACGCCGCGTGCTCCGCTTGTTTAGAGGGACACTTTACAACCGTTACCGAACCCGGTAAATGCGAAGATAGCTCAACAAGTGAGGAAACGGCGTTTTCGCTCCTGTCACACGTCGAACTACGCGTTTGACGCTTGCGGCTCGAGCTCCCGGGGTCCGAGCCTCGCGCGCGGTGAGATAATTGGCCACGCGCTGTTGGGCAAAACGGGCTGCTCTCCTCTTTTTCTGCCTGTTGCACGCCGTCCTCTGTCTCTGTTGTGTAAACGTCTTAAAACGAGTTTACTTCAAATGCGGGATGCGTTTGTTGTGTTT